AAATTTTTATCATAAATAAACTTACTTCCCAACAAAAGATTTATGTGCAATAAACGATAGTCAATAGGAAAGGAAAATTCAAAAGTTTCATATAGGCAGATGAAAATGAAATTTAGCCTAAAATTTCACTTTTACTGTTTTTCTCGTAATTAATCCCATTACCCTTATAATTTCATATCATTTATACGTTTGTTTTATTGTTCGTCGTGAGTGTCTTTTTACCTAAAGGAATTGAATCTTGCGATACGGAACCTTAACACTTCAAAAGTAACAAAATCCATGCCTGCATCGACAAAGTAGTCTGAAATTAGTACGTTTCTGATAAATTTTAAAGTGTTAATTAATGGTAATGTAATTAAAAATGTCCATCAAGTAAGCTTTCTCAGGCATCCTAATGAATTTTAATTAACCGTATTTTTATCAGTCTAACTAACTACCACTAACCAGAAGTGAAACTGACATTTGACACCTCAAACGTTCGATTACTAGAATGTTCTAGTTAGAGAAAAATGATGACGAAATTTGAATTAATTTATTTTTAAATTTTACATTAATATATGATGTACATATTTCTCATTTGTTTTACTGTTGTCTAAGAAATGAGTCGTTAAAATGACTCTCCAGCTTATACAAATAGTTACAAATCTTACCCGATTTTTTTACTAAAATTGGAAACAATATAAATCACTTTATATGCAATGGGGTCTCAAAACCACAACATCCATTCGAGTTACAAATAATTTGTAATGTAATGGGAGTTATATTGAAATATCTTCAGTTAGAACACCCTTTTAGATACATAGAAGGAATCACTTGTATCTTTCATTATTAGAGTCGTCATTAGTCTGGGTTTCCCGGAATTTGTCCCTGTTCGTAGACCATACCCTATATGAAATTTCATCATTAAAGAAGTAGGGTAGTTTTTTCGATCTCCATGATTGGTTTTATCAAAAAGATTACCTTTCGATACAACATAACATCAAGTATCTTGAAAACCAATAATTTTCACATTTTTAAGTCAGAATATTTAGTAAACTGGAGCTTTCGGATAAATCCTAACCTCTTTTCAAATTTAACGCATCAAAAACCTTCGGGAAAGTAATAACAGAGTAAAAAATTTATCGGCCTGGATAATTTAGAAGCCAAGCTGCACTTATTCGTTAAACAGAACAATTAATTTTGAGTGTAGTTAAAAGAATGAGTGTTTTTCTTTAATATTTCTATACATTATATTGCTCCCAATCAAAAAAATAATATTTACTGTATCTTAAATTAGTAAACTAAAGATACTCAATAAATGAAAAAGTATTATTTTTCCAGACATCAATTTTGTTGGCCTATGGTTTAATACTATTGGTTCAACTTGAACCCAATATCTGAAAAAAGCATAAAGAAGCCTAACTCTGCAAACCGAATCAACCAGTCATTATCGACATAGATACATATAGCACAATTAAATTCTAGTTACACTCAAATTGATACGGTTAGTGATTTTGTGAAAATATTGTTTTAATATCCATTAATTAATCTGTCAGTATTCAAAATGTTTTTAAGAACAGTAGGTGTTATTCTTGTGATAAGAGACTAATATAAAAAAAGTGACTTCCGTTGCAAACCAGTGTTTTTATCGCATTTTAGTTTAGACCACCAAAATGACAAACATTTTCAGTCGCTTGTACTATCTTGGATTGGGAGTTCTAGTATCTATCTGCTTAATTACAGCGTATCCTTTATCAGGCGATGAAGAAAAATTCTTGGAACGAGAAGTAAGCGTGTAATTTTAATTTATTTATAAAACTATTATTCGTATTGAGAGGGTACGAGAAAAATATGTTTACACTTTTGTAATGTTGCTAAATAGATTCACACAAAAACATCCAGGAGCCTAAAACTACTAATGAATAACACTAATTTTATTTAATTCTTATTATTATCTTATTTTGACTAAATCAAAAATTTACTTTCAGCTACTGAGTTTTTAGTAATTTATTGTAGAACACAAATCGCTTACTTAGACACAAATTTTATTTTAAAAAAGGGAACACATCGAATACCCTAATTGAATAAAA